AAGGGGAGGCGGGGGGGGGGGGCAGGTAGGGGAGGGAGCGACAGGCGACGCGAGCAAACGTATAATGGTTTTCGTCCCACTCACCTGGCCCCGTGCTAGAACCCCCCTTGGGCCGCCTGCCTCCGGGCCAGGGGCCTGGGGCGGAAGTAAACAGTTTCAAGCCTTCAAATGAAGGATAAAAAATGTTCTTTACCAATCCTTTCGCCAATTTCGGCTTTGGTTGCGCCGCCTTTCGCTCGAAGGGTGACGCTTCCATCGTCGACTTTTCTCTTTTCCTTTTCCCTTCCTTCCTGCTTCCCTTCCCCTCCTTCCCTTCTTCCCCTACCCCCTTCCTTCCTCCCTTCCTCTTTTGTCCATCCTCCTTCGCCCTTTCTCTCCTACCACACTTCCTCCATTCTCTCCTTCCCTCTTTCCTCTTCTTCCATCTTCTTCCCTCTTCTTCCCTCTTCTTCCCTCTTCTTCCCTTTCCCTCCCATTCCCCTTCGCGCCCCTTCTCGCCCGCACATCACGTGACCCCTTGGAGGCGAAGAGGGGGGTGGTGGGATCGTAGCACCCCCCCCCCCCACTTCACCCGGGAAACTTCCCACCATTGTGTGTTGTTTCGCGCGCTGGAAGTGTTATTAATTGCTGCCTGTTCTTATCAGTACTGTTATTACAGTTATTGTGCTTCATGTTTTATCATGGATAATATGATGTGTCTGTTATTATTGTTATCATTTATGTTGTTGTTTTTTGTTATTTTGGATTAATAAATTACCCAAAAATATGTTATTTATTATTATGATGTTTATCACTCTTGACATTATCATTATTACACTAATAGTTGTTTCTGCTGCCGTTGTTATTATCATCAATACCATGATGTTCATTACCACTGTAATTATAATCAATTTCGAATTCGAGAGAAAATTCGGACCTGAGCCGCGATTGGCTGCCCGGAGAGCGCCTCGGCCGTGGGCGCGGATCGATATAATTGACCCTTTATTCTCCCTATGAGTGACTGCCCGGGGTGGAGGGTGGGTGGACGGGGGGGGATGGGGGACGGTTTTCGGTAATGCCCGCGTTCGTAGTGCCGCCAGCGCCTGCTCCTCACTCCTCTCTCTCTTTCTCCTCTTTCTGCTTCTGATTTTTCTTCTTCATTTTTTTCTTTTTCTTCTTCCCCCTCCTGCTCCTCCTCCGCTTCCTCCGCTGCCTCCTCTTCCTCTAAATTTTCCTACTTCTCCTTCCTCCTCTTCCTTCTTTCTCTTTCTACTACAACTTTCTACTTCTTCCCCTTTCTACTACTACTTTTTACTTCTTTCTCTTCCTACTTCTTCCTCCTCCTTCCGACCACGCCCACAACCCCGCCCACCCTAAGTCCTCTCGGAGAGTCTCTGAAAAGCCCAAGTGTCGCTGTGTTCATACTATATTTAAGCCGAGAGTGGTGAGAGAGGGGGGGAGGGGGAGGGGGATCTGCTTGGATGTCTGCCTTGGATAATCCGATCGGGATAATACGGGGGGGAGGGGGGGGGCTTTCTGCTGTGTGCGCTGTGGATTTCCTGGAAAGGGGGAGGAGCGGAGGGGGAGGGGGGGGGGGGAGAGAATGGGGAGAAGGGAGAAGGAAAAAACGAGCAAGGAGAAAGAGAGAAAGAAAAGAGAGAGAGGGAGAGGGGGGGTGGAAGGAGGGGGAGAGAAACCGAAAATTGGAGACAAAGAAGACTGCACAGAAGAGATGTCAGCAGGGAAAGCGATGTTTTGCTGTCAGCGGGCACCGATTAGCAGACAGAGAATTAGTCAGCCTGTCAGCCAGCCATGGCGTAGGCAGCGAGGCAAAAGCGGGCGCGCAGGCAGGCAAGCAAGCAGCAGTAGACAGGCAAACAGGCACATCGGCCCACTCCGAGTTGTTCCAGGGACACCCAGCGCCTCCTCAGAGCCATCCACTTTTTGCATCCACTTCAGGTTCCGGAAATTACGAAGATGCAGAGGTGGATGTGGAGGGTCGGGTAGGGGGTAGGGGGTAGGGGGTAGGGGTTAGGAGGGTAGGGGGTAAGGGATAGGGGGTAGGGGGTAGGGGGTAGGGGGTAGGGGGTAGGGGGTAGGGGGTAGGGGGTAGGGGGTAGGGGGTAGGGGGTAGGGGGTAGGGGGTAGGGGGTAGGGGGTAGGGGGTAGGGGGTAGGGGGTAGGGGGTAGGGGGTAGGGGGTAGGGGGTAGGGGGTAGGGGGTAGGGGGTAGGGGGTAGGGGGTAGGGGGTAGGGGGTAGGGGGTAGGGGGTAGGGGGTAGGGGGTAGGGGGTAGGGGGTAGGGGGTAGGGGGTAGGGGGTAGGGGGTAGGGGGTAGGGGGTAGGGGGTAGGGGGTAGGGGGTAGGGGGTAGGGGGTAGGGGGTAGGGGGTAGGGGGTAGGGGGTAGGGGGTAGGGGGTAGGGGGTAGGGGGTAGGGGGTAGGGGGTAGGGGGTAGGGGGTAGGGGGTAGGGGGTAGGGGGTAGGGGGTAGGGGGTAGGGGGTAGGGGGTAGGGGGTAGGGGGTAGGGGGTAGGGGGTAGGGGGTAGGGGGTAGGGGGTAGGGGGTAGGGGGTAGGGGGTAGGGGGTAGGGGGTAGGGGGTAGGGGGTAGGGGGTAGGGGGTAGGGGGTAGGGGGTAGGGGGTAGGGGGTAGGGGGTAGGGGGTAGGGGGTAGGGGGTAGGGGGTAGGGGGTAGGGGGTAGGGGGTAGGGGGTAGGGGGTAGGGGGTAGGGGGTAGGGGGTAGGGGGTAGGGGGTAGGGGGTAGGGGGTAGGGGGTAGGGGGTAGGGGGTAGGGGGTAGGGGGTAGGGGGTAGGGGGTAGGGGGTAGGGGGTAGGGGGTAGGGGGTAGGGGGTAGGGGGTAGGGGGTAGGGGGTAGGGGGTAGGGGGTAGGGGGTAGGGGGTAGGGGGTAGGGGGTAGGGGGTAGGGGGTAGGGGGTAGGGGGTAGGGGGTAGGGGGTAGGGGGTAGGGGGTAGGGGGTAGGGGGTAGGGGGTAGGGGGTAGGGGGTAGGGGGTAGGGGGTAGGGGGTAGGGGGTAGGGGGTAGGGGGTAGGGGGTAGGGGGTAGGGGGTAGGGGGTAGGGGGTAGGGGGTAGGGGGTAGGGGGTAGGGGGTAGGGGGTAGGGGGTAGGGGGTAGGGGGTAGGGGGTAGGGGGTAGGGGGTAGGGGGTAGGGGGTAGGGGGTAGGGGGTAGGGGGTAGGGGGTAGGGGGTAGGGGGTAGGGGGTAGGGGGTAGGGGGTAGGGGGTAGGGGGTAGGGGGTAGGGGGTAGGGGGTAGGGGGTAGGGGGTAGGGGGTAGGGGGTAGGGGGTAGGGGGTAGGGGGTAGGGGGTAGGGGGTAGGGGGTAGGGGGTAGGGGGTAGGGGGTAGGGGGTAGGGGGTAGGGGGTAGGGGGTAGGGGGTAGGGGGTAGGGGGTAGGGGGTAGGGGGTAGGGGGTAGGGGGTAGGGGGTAGGGGGTAGGGGGTAGGGGGTAGGGGGTAGGGGGTAGGGGGTAGGGGGTAGGGGGTAGGGGGTAGGGGGTAGGGGGTAGGGGGTAGGGGGTAGGGGGTAGGGGGTAGGGGGTAGGGGGTAGGGGGTAGGGGGTAGGGGGTAGGGGGTAGGGGGTAGGGGGTAGGGGGTAGGGGGTAGGGGGTAGGGGGTAGGGGGTAGGGGGTAGGGGGTAGGGGGTAGGGGGTAGGGGGTAGGGGGTAGGGGGTAGGGGGTAGGGGGTAGGGGGTAGGGGGTAGGGGGTAGGGGGTAGGGGGTAGGGGGTAGGGGGTAGGGGGTAGGGGGTAGGGGGTAGGGGGTAGGGGGTAGGGGGTAGGGGGTAGGGGGTAGGGGGTAGGGGGTAGGGGGTAGGGGGTAGGGGGTAGGGGGTAGGGGGTAGGGGGTAGGGGGTAGGGGGTAGGGGGTAGGGGGTAGGGGGTAGGGGGTAGGGGGTAGGGGGTAGGGGGTAGGGGGTAGGGGGTAGGGGGTAGGGGGTAGGGGGTAGGGGGTAGGGGGTAGGGGGTAGGGGGTAGGGGGTAGGGGGTAGGGGGTAGGGGGTAGGGGGTAGGGGGTAGGGGGTAGGGGGTAGGGGGTAGGGGGTAGGGGGTAGGGGGTAGGGGGTAGGGGGTAGGGGGTAGGGGGTAGGGGGTAGGGGGTAGGGGGTAGGGGGTAGGGGGTAGGGGGTAGGGGGTAGGGGGTAGGGGGTAGGGGGTAGGGGGTAGGGGGTAGGGGGTAGGGGGTAGGGGGTAGGGGGTAGGGGGTAGGGGGTAGGGGGTAGGGGGTAGGGGGTAGGGGGTAGGGGGTAGGGGGTAGGGGGTAGGGGGTAGGGGGTAGGGGGTAGGGGGTAGGGGGTAGGGGGTAGGGGGTAGGGGGTAGGGGGTAGGGGGTAGGGGGTAGGGGGTAGGGGGTAGGGGGTAGGGGGTAGGGGGTAGGGGGTAGGGGGTAGGGGGTAGGGGGTAGGGGGTAGGGGGTAGGGGGTAGGGGGTAGGGGGTAGGGGGTAGGGGGTAGGGGGTAGGGGGTAGGGGGTAGGGGGTAGGGGGTAGGGGGTAGGGGGTAGGGGGTAGGGGGTAGGGGGTAGGGGGTAGGGGGTAGGGGGTAGGGGGTAGGGGGTAGGGGGTAGGGGGTAGGGGGTAGGGGGTAGGGGGTAGGGGGTAGGGGTAGGGGTAGGGGGTTTTGGCCCCCGGCGCCGACATCGGAGCATGGCCAGCTCCATCGTCTCATTAACACGGTAATAACGGTTGATATTCGTGGCAGGAGAATGGTCAGCCTTTGGTTGGAGCGCCGCCCGGGAGAAGAAAAAAATAGTGGAAATAATGAGCTAGTCGGCATCTGGAGTGCTGTGGGAGAGGTCCGGGGTAACACTGACACATGTGTTCATTCAGTTGGCGATTGTCAAAGGGAGAGACTAGACGTACGGCTCTCGTGTGTGGACTTTTTTTTTTCTTTCTCTCATTTCTTGTGTTATTAATGCGATATCCTTGTGTATGGAAAATTTGTAATTTTTTTTGTTTTTTGTTTTGTTTCCCTCAACGAGTGCGTTTTCGTTGGTGAAAGAGTGGCACGTAAGATCAGTCCGGAAAATGATTTCTCCAGTTGAACTTCCTAAGGCGGCCGATGTTCTTTTTCGATGGCTGCTCGATATGGTGACTGATGTTCTGGTGAAGTGACAAAGTGGTGGAGGCGCAGTGAGGGCGAGTGAAGTGTCTGCGTCGTCCTGCAGAACCCGAGGTCGGCGCTGGGCTCGGCGGCGCCTTGGAGGCAGGCTCATCGGGAGTGAAATCTCGGGGCATCTCTAAGCGCTGGAATATTCATGCTTTGGAAGCGACTGCGGCCTGTTTGGCGAGGGCCGTCTCGCGCTCGGCTCTTGGGGGAGTTCTGGTCTGCGAGTGCCCGCTGTTGCAACACAGGAAGGCCGTCGTGGCCCGAAATAGCAGCAACATCTGCAACTCGGAACACCTGTGGCAAGTGTTGTGTAGTCGGGCGACCTGGGAACACAGGTGCGCGCGCTCGGGCTGTGTGGATACCCGCGAGGCCTCGAATGTGCGAGTGCGGATACTGTGGGCTCGCCGGGAAACTAGGCGTGCTCTGCTCCGATCATTTCTGTGCGAATGGATCCCGCAAGGTCTCGGGGCGCCGCGAGGGGCTTCCGACAGGCGCTTCCCTCGGGCGTCGGGGCAGGAGGAGGCGGAGGCTCCTTTGTGATGAGCAGCGCTCCCAGGCCCTTCGGGGGCCGGGGGCGGTGACACACTTCGCCTAAACATGTCCCCACTTGACGGCAAGCACACGCCCGCCCTCAAACCCAAGGTGTCCATAGCGGGCTGCGAGTGGGCGTGGGAAGCGCCCGTGTGGCCCGCGGGGGAATAAATCACAGCGGCGACGCCAGCGCTCGCAGCCGAAGGGCAACGCCGCGCCTCCTTGCAACCTCCTCTTCGGGATCCGAAGGAGCCCTGGCGTCCGACGGGCTCGCTGAGGGCCGCCTGCGCTCTCTCTCTCTCTCTCTCTCTCTCTCTCTCTCTCTCTCTCTCTCTCTCTCTCTCTCTCTCTCTCTCTCTCTCTCTCCCTCTCCCTCTCCCTCTCCCTCTCCCTCTCCCTCTCCCTCTCCCTCCCTCTCCCTCCCTCTCCCTCCCTCCCTCCCTCCCTCCCTCCGTCTCCTCCTCTCTCCCCCCGCCTCTCTCTCTCCTTCCCTCCCTCTCTCCCCCTCTCCCTCTCCCTCTCCCTCTCCCTCTCCCCCCGCCTCTCTCTCCCCCTTCCCCCTCCCCCCCTCCCTCTCCTCCCCCCTTCCCCTCCCTCCTTCCTCCTTGTCTATTGCCATCTATAGACGTGTTTTCCGGCAGTTCTTCTGTGGTTTCCTCGTGTCCAGTTTCCACCGCACAAACCGGAACTCTTTCTGAGAACCTTTGAGAGATGCCAGTGTTGTCAGCTGTTACGCTTTTGGTGGCGGTCTTTTCTCATCTCGCTCGCTTATTCACTGCTGATGGACCTCTCTCACTCTTCTCTCTCCTCTCCTCTCCTCTCCTCTCCTCTTCTCTTCTCTCTGTCCCTACGAGGAACGTGCATGTGTGTGGCATGTGGAAGGAAGGCAGTTGGTCTGGACCCGTGGCCTGGCTCCCGCGGAAGCAGGAATGCCCTTTGCCGCGCCGCCCCTCTTAGCAGAGCGAACGCCCTTGCTCGCGTAGGACGCTGCCGAGCTTGGGTGAATGTGCGGCGTCGCTGGAGGTCGTGTCAGCGGCAGCGACAGGCAGTGCCGTTGCTTCGTCAAGGCGCGAGGTCCACGCGGTGCCATGCTGGCGTCGGCGTCGTAGCCCCCGCGAAGCTCGCCTCCCGGGACAGTATTACGAATGATTATTTTTACCGCCCTTCGCTGGCCCGTGGATGCTGGGGGCGTCACGTGAGTCCGATTGATGTGACATTTTGGCTTACCGGGACTTACTCTTCGGGGTATTAACGATGACGCCAGCCTCCGCCTCGCCGCCCCGCCCACGCGCGCCACGTCATTCCTTGCGCGACCACTGAGGGGACGCCTTCCCGTGAGAAAAGGACGGCCCCCTCCCCCTGCAACACGTCACTCCTCTACGTCACTCGTCCACCGGGCCATTCGCCGAAGCGGTGGGCGTGAGGTCGCCCCACGCCCACTGAGGTCATTCCCATTGTCCGACTTCGGTCCGTCTGGGACGCTCGGAGGTACTTCAGCGTTCACAGAAGCTCGAGGCGCACTCTGCGCGTGTGTGTCGCCCGGAGCTCGGCGCCGAGGACCCGCGGACGTGGCTAGATAAGCCGAGGACGAGTGAGTGGCGCTGCTTCCTGCACGTACCCCCCTCCCCCCCGTCGGCACGGCGTCAGGATTCGAAGGGACGCGGTGGCTGGTTTGGGGGTGTGGTCGGCAGAGAAATGTGATGGGCAATTGCAGGGGAAAGAAGTGATCTCGCAATGATAAGACGTTAACAAGTGGAGAGGCTTTCGTGGATCAAGGGAGGCCCCAGGTGTGCTCTCATTAGGCGCGGTCCGTCATGCGTGTGGAGGAGCGCTCTCTCCCTCTCCCCCTCCCTCCATCCATTATCTCCACGTGTACATGTTACCTGGTTGGTAGCGAAGGGGGGCAGATGCAGAAGTGGGAGACACGATAAAAGAGCGAGAGGGCAGGGTGAGGGCAGGGGGCCTGGCCATCGTGTCCCCGCAGGAAACCTAATTGGTTCTCCGTGAGTCAGAAGGGAGGAGGCAGGGGCGTCCGCGTGCCGTGTCCCGTAGATGCTTCGAAGGGGCGGCGAGGCGGCCGGCACCCTTCCAGTTGCGTCTCCTGGCCTCCGAATCGAGCGCTCGTCGCCTCCTCCGTGTTGAAGGAGAGCGGCAAGCGACCGACGGCTGGAGGAGGAATAAGGGAACTGTTCGACGCCTCGCCCTGTCGTCTGGTCGGCTGCCCTCCAGCCGTTGTTTTCGTTTCCCTCGCTCGCTCTCAATTCAGGGGGGGAGGGTTGCCTCCGACGTCGGCTCGGGGTGGGAGCGGCAGCGTCGCCACGTCTGTTGCGTTGTGTGTGGAGAGGCATACAAACATCGCACGCGCGCGCACGGATGGACGACACGTTTTACTTTTACACACACACACACACACACACACACACACATATACATACATACATACATACATACATACATACATACATACATACATACATACATACATACATACATACATACATACATACATACATACATACATACATACATACGAACGCACGCACGCACAAAAAAAAAAACGCACATGCATATGCTTGTAGAAGGGCCTACTTACATAAATCGAACTCTACCCAGAAACACAATTATGCGATTGTATTTTCCAGTCATTTGCTTGTTCGTTGGCGTACACCGACGCCCACCGACATCAAACTCACTCCCACAACACATTCTACGACCTTCTCCCCCCCCCCCCTCCCGTCCCATGCCCTCGGGGTTGGAATGGTTGGCCCGCTTGTGTCGGTCAGGCCGGGCATGGGGGGGGGGGGGCAGTGCCCTGTCACAAGGAGACGTCATGTGATAGATGTACCCTGGTAGATGATCGATGGAAGATGACCAGTAATGTTCTAAAGTAGATGGCTCGTGGTAGATGTGAATGGGGTGTGGTAGAGCGGCGTCGAGAAGGGCGCCGGAGTTCGGCGACCAAGAGGCGAATTGGGGGAGATAGGTGGGGGGGGGACGAGGCGGAGGGGCAGAGGAGGAGGGGAAAAAAGGGGAGTACGCCTCGGATGGTTTACACATGTTGCTGCTCCCGACAAAGTCCAGCGGCGCGACCGAGGGTGCCAGGGCTGGTTCTGGGGGCGGGGGTCCTCTCTCTCTCTCTCTCTCTCCTCTCTCTCTCCTCTCTCTCTCCTCTCTCTCTCCTCTCTCTCTCTCTCCCTCCCTCTCCCTCCCTCTCTCCCTCCCTCTCCCTCCCTCTCCCTCCCTCTCTCTCTCTCTCTCTCTCTCTCTCTCTCTCTCTCTCTCTCTCTCTCTCTCTCTCTCTCTCTCTCTCTCTCTCTCTCTCTCTCTCTCTCTCTCTCTCTCTCCCCCCCTCCCTCTCTCCCTCTCTCCCTCTCTCCCTCTCTCCCTCTCTCCCTCTCTCACGCACACGACGCGACGTGGCGGCCACACAACGCGTGGTCATTATGGCCGTACATGGTGATGGAGGGAGGGAGGGGGAGGGAGGGTGTGTGTGTAGCCCCGGGCTGACTACAGGGACTACCACCACCACGCTGCACCAACACCGCCTTCCCCGCCGCCTCAGTCACCTACGGGGCGCAGGATGAGTCCGGCCATGGCACAGAAGGTTCAGCGGTCTGCGTACGATGAGGCGCTGCCCACCACGGCCGCCGTCCTCCTCTCTCCCCTCCTCCCCTCTTTCCTCGCATCGTCTTCTGCTCCTCTTCCTCGTCGTCGTCGTCCATAGCCTTACTTCCTGCTTCCCTTGCTCCTCTCGTCGCTTTCTGCTTTCTTAGGATTTTCCTTTATCTGGCTCGGCCCTTCGCCCGGACCTGTTTCTATCCCTTCTCTTCCATTCCGTATTTCTCTCCCCCCCCCCACTCTCTCTCTCTCTCTCTCTCTCTCTCTCTCTCTCTCTCTCTCTCTCTCTCTCTCTCTCTCTCTCTCTCTCTCTCTCTCTCTCTCTCTCTCTCTCTCACACACGCACACGCGCATACACACACGCACACGCGCATACACACACGCACACGCGCATACACACACGCACACGCGCATACACACACGCACACGCGCATACACACACGCACACGCGCATACACACACGCACACGCGCATACACACACGCACACGCGCATACACACACGCGCATACACACACGCACACACACACACACACACACACACACACACACACACACACACACACACACACACACACACACACACACACACACACACACACACCTTCAACCCTTTTTTTCTCTTTTTCTTCCCTTCTTTCTTTTGACCGTGTAGTGAATTCTTTCTGATTTCTTCTTCGCACCAGAACGGAGCCGACGGGGACGAAAGATTAGTATTGTTTATATATTTATTTATTTCCACTTGGAC